TTTTAATAATTTTCAAGCAATATCCAATATTTTTTCTTTAACACAATTAACAGATGAAATTTATTGAAAATAAAAAATCTCTGTGACTATCAAAAGTCACTAAGATTTATTATGTTCAATAACTTTCAAACAATTTTTGTGTCTAACACTCTTTATACCCTGAAATTTGTTAAAAATTACAAATCTCGGTGATTCCCGCATCTCACTGAGATTTGTTATTTCAATAAAATTCAAACAATATCAAATATTTTGTCTCTCGTCATTTATCGCATCTCACTATCATCATTATTTTCAATAAATTTCAAACAAATTTTGTGCCTAAGACTATTACCTGAAATTTATTGAAAATCACAAATCTTGGTGAATCCCGCATCTCACTAAGATTTATTATTTCCAATAAATTTGAAGCAATATCAAATATTTGTTCTCTAACTTTATTAATCGATGAAATTTATTGAAAATAAAAAATTTCAATGACTCACACAACTCATTAAGATTTATTATGTTCAATAAATTTCAAACAAATTTTGTGTCTAACACTATTACTTGAAATTTCTTGAAAATCACAAATCTAGGTGACTCCCGCATCTCACTTAGATTTATTATGTTCAATAATTTTCAAACAAATTTTGTGCCTAGCACTATTACATGAAATTTGTTAAAAATCACAAATCTCGTTGATCTCATGCATCTCACTAAGATTTATTATTTTTAATAAATTTCGAACAAATTTTGTGACTAAGACTGTTACCTGAAATTTATTAAAAATCACAAATCTTATTGACTCTCGCATCTTACTAAGATTTATTATTTCTAATAAATTTCAAGCAATATCCAATATTTTTTCTCTAACACACTTAACAAATGAAATTTATTGAAAATAAAAAATCTCTATGACTATCACATGTCACTCAGATTTATTATGTTCAATATATTTTAAACAATTTTTGTGCCTAACACTCTTTATTGCCTAAAATTTGTTGAAAATTACAAATCTCGGTGTTTTCATCATCTCACTAAGATTTGTTATTTTTAATAAAATTCAAGCAATATCAAATATTTTTTCTAACGCTAATAATGGCTGAAATTCATTGAAATTTACAAATCTCAGTGATCTCCCGCATCTCACTAAGATTTATTATTTCCAATAAATTTGAAGCAACATCAAATATTTGTTCTCTAACTTTATTAATAGATGAAATTTATTGAAAATAAAAAATTTCAATGACTCCCACAACTCACTAAAATTTATTATGTTCAATAAATTTCAAACAAATTTTGTGCCTAACACTATTACCTGAAATTTGTTGAAAATCACAAATCTAGGTGACTCCCGCATCTCACTGAGATTTATTATGTTCAATAAATTTCAAAAAAAATTTGTGCCTAACACTATTTCTTGAAATTTGTTGAAAATCACAAATCTCGGTGATCTCCCGCATCTCACTAAGATTTATTATTTTCAATAAATTTCAAACAAATTTTGTGCCTAAGACTGTTACTTGAAATTTATTGAAAATCACAAATCTTGGTGACTCCCGCATCTCACTAAGATTTATTATTTTCAATAAAATTCAAGCAATATCAAATATTTTTTCTATCGCTATTAATAGCTGAAATTCATTGAAAATTCCAAATCTCAGTGATCTCCCGCATCTCACTAAGATTTATTATTTCCAATAAATTTCAAGCAATATCCAATATTTTTTCTCTAACACAGTTAACAAATGAAACTTATTGAAAATAAAAAATCTCTGTGACTATCACAAGTCACTAAGATTTATTATGTTCAATAAATTTCAAACAATTTTTGTGCTTAACACTCTTTATTGCCTGAAATTTGTTAAAAATTACAAATCTCGGTGTTTCCATCATCTCACTGAGATTTGTTTTTTTCAATAAAATTCAAACAATATTTATCAAATACTTTGTCTATCGCTATTAATGGATGAAATTCATTAAAAATTACAAATCTCGGTAATCTCCCGCATCTCACTAAGATTTATTATTTTCAATAAATTTCAAACAAATTTTGTGCCTAAGACTATTACCTGAAATTTATTGAAAATTACAAATCTTGGTGACTCCCGCATCTCACTGAGATTTATTATTTTCAATAAAATTCAAGCAATATCAAATATTTTGTCTTTCGCTATTAATAGCTAAAATTCATTGAAAATTACAAATCTCGGTGATCTCCTGCATCTCACTAAGATTTATTATTTCTAATAAATTTCAAGCAATATCCAATATTTTTTCTCTAACACAATTAACAGATGAAATTTATTGAAAATAAAAAATCTCTCTGACTATCACAAGTCACTAAGATTTATTATGTTCAATATATTTCAATCAATTTTTGTGCCTAACACTCTTTATTGCCTGTAATTTGTTGAAAATTACAAATCTCGGTGTTTCCATCAACTCACTAAGATTTGTTATTTTCAATAAAATTCAAACAATATCAAATACTTTGTCTATCACTATTTATGGCTAAAATTCATTAAAAATTATAAATCTCGGTGATCTCCCGCATCTCACTAAAATTTATTATTTTCAATAAATTTTAAGCAATCTCTAATACTTTTTGTCTAACACTATTATTGGCTCAAATTTTCTTAAAATTACAAATCTTGGTGTCTCCTTCAACTCACTAAGATTTATTATTTTCAATAAAATTCAAGCAATATCAAATATTTTGTCTAACACTTTATTCATTTCTAACTAAAATTCATTGAAAATTACAAATCTCAGTGACTTCAACATCTCACTAAGATTTATTTTTTTCAATAAAATTTAAGCAATATTAAATATTTTGTCTAACACTTTATTCATTGATGAGTAAAATTCATTGAAATTCAGATTAGGAAGCTTACTTTGGGAGGATTGAAGTTCCGGGTTGAGTTTCGGAAGGGAATTCTACTTCTTCGCAGTTATTGGCTATTTTGAGCCAATCTTCAGGTGAGGGAAGCTAGAATGTTTGTTGTTTAAGTTGCATGTGAGTTTAGAAACTCAATTGATGCATGAAAGTTGAGGATCCATGGCTGGATCGGAGAATTCGCTCATTTTTCGGGGTTTTGGGAAAAAATGGGGTTTTTGGTGAATTTGATGCATCAGACGGGTGCATGTTGATTTTGAGTTTGTTTTGTGTTGTATGGAGCCTATGCAATGTGTTTTTGTGTTTGCATATGGTTGAATTTGTTAGTTGGATGAGAGTTTTGAGCTCTATGACCGGGATTAGGCTAGGCGCAGGTTGAGCGCGCCAGGTGTGGAAGAGCTTAGGGCTCTCGGGTTGGATGTTGGGCCAGGCGTGATTTGGTTGCGTCAGGCGTGGAGACTCTTAGGAGTCTCTGTCTCAAGGACACTGAGCTTAGTTGAACGCACCGGGTGTGGATGAGTTTTAGGACTCTCAGGTTGGGATTAGGCTGGGCGAGCTCAGGTTGCGCCGGGCGTGAACATGTTTATGAATGAAATGATGCTAATGCATGTTAAGTTGAAGTTTTGGATCATGTATGTATGATATATGATGTATGGTGAGGTGTGATTCATATGTATGCATAGTGATGATATATATGAATGTTTAAATATGATATGACATGTGTGTGATTATTGATCATAATAGTGGGTAGACCATGTATGATGTATGATGCATTATTGCATGTGATATCTTATTACATGTGTATGATTGTTGATCATGATGGTGGGCAGACCATGTATGATGTATGATGCATAATTGCATGTGATGCCTTATGGTATGAGTCTAGCCTAGGACTTGAGGAGAGGAAAAATATTTTCGAACTGGAAGAGCTCACATAGAGTCTCTTGAGAGTGGTGCTTGGATAGGCCACTAATATATGGGAGTGGTGCTCAGGTAGGCCACTGGATTTGGGAGTGGTGCTTAGGTAGACCACTGGGTTGGGTGAGTCTCCTCTAAGTCCTTAGCTAGTGTTGGAGCAGGGTATGAGGTCGAGGGTTATTCCCTTAACCAAGTACTCGGGAAGGTGCGTGGATCCTTGCGGATAGTTGATGGGCAAACTCCACAATTGACTTGGTTATGCATGCCAAGGTCGTGGTAAGCCCATACCCAGCTGTGCTATACCTGACAGTGGGTCTGGACTTCCAATTGTGTAAGTGACATCATTCGAGTAAACCCGAGTGAGGATTATATCTTGTTTAGCTGTGACCGAGCGGGCACATTGGGCGTGAAAATGGTTGGGGTGGTTTCGGTAGGATGAGATGTCACTTATACAGCTCTGTTGTTAGGGAGATCTCCTAGGTGTATGCGTGATGACGTATTAGATGATTGATATGCATTGATATTTGTCATGAGATGCATTTATTGCATGATTGTTAATATGATGAAGTGTGTTGTTTGACTTCATGATTGATGAATTGTATTTTATGCTTGAGTAGTATTGGATAGAGTGTATGGTGTGACTCTATGAATATGATTGATAGTTGGATGATTGTGTAGTATAGGTTATTGTTCTATACTTGTATGATTGATTTTTGAACTCTAGCTTATCCTTCTATTTTCATGTGGTGGGACTACGATGATCATACTTGGTATAGGAGCAGGTCAGGGCTAGCTCGGAGTTGAGGTGACCGCTGCGAGACGAGAAGTTTGATCCTCGTGTTAGAGTTACCATTTTGGGTAACGATTTCTTCTGTGCTTGACCGGCACTAGAGTCATATTATTTTTGGGATGACTGTATATATATGTGGTGTTCTATTTTATAATCAGAAACTTAGTTATTTTCATTCTTATTTATATCTGTATGTATGAGTTATCCAACTTAATATTTCTCTTAGTTCATTACTAGTAGTGCGATTTCACTAAATGTAGAGACCATGACGAATCGTTACAGCTATTTTTTTAGTTTTAAAAATACATTTTATATTAAATTAAATTTCTACTTTATTAAATTTAAATTTTTTAATATTATTATAATATAATATAATATTTACTATTATAAAAAAAATTACGAACAATTCCCCGCTGAAAAAGGCTCGCAAAAAAATCCCTAATTCACTCATTCCATTCAAAATCTCAGGCGCGTTTCCGATTTAATCACCATCCTCTTCTACCTAATCTCTTCGTTGGCGTCGCAAATCGAGTGAGAGAGTGTGGAGTGGAACGATCGAGAAAGTGGAATAGCTCCAAAAACACCATCGATCATAGCGGTAACAACGAGCAATTTCTTCTTATACCCCTCCTAGTTTTATTCTTTATTTGTGTCAATTTCATGCTAAAAACGTGACGATATTATCCTGTGACTTCTCCACACCCGCGCATTTTCCGATTTCAGTCGAATTCTTGAGCAATGCGCGTGGATGAATCAATAGGGCTCACTCTTTGGATTGTTCGTTTTTCTTCATATGAGATACTAGGTGGATGCTAGGTGTTTGATGAAAGTTCCAAACTATAGTGTGACAAGCATAAGTTGTTTGATGAATTGTATACCCAGAGATTTTCTCCTTGCGTGCCGCTGATAAATAAGTTTTGTTATTTTTAAAAAATCAGATTTTCACAATTGGTTTATCAAAAGAAATATTTTTAAGAAAAAAAAAACTCAATTTTTAAGAAAGAGGTTCCTGATCAACCAAATTATAATAATTAATAACTCCAAATTGGGTCCTGTTGAGAAAGAGTTTCCTGACAGATGCTTGTTTAGCTCATTAGAAAACGTGAGTTACAAACGCAAAGGAGTTGCAGTTTTTAAGAATTCAAATCAAGATTAGGGTGAATTGGTACTTCAAATCAGGAATTATAGAATTAAACTATGTATGTTTGTATGTAGTGCACCTATCACCTAATTAGATGAGCATATGTGGTATGAAGTCTATTGAGTCATAAACTGTTCTGCTTAGGTGCAGTAATGCTACGTAATACTGCATCCATTTTATTACACACCATTAGGCATATATTTCTTCCTTTTAAATATTTTAACTCAATTCATGCTGATTTTAGTTTATGCTTTTTGCCAGTGCTATATGATTTGTCTTACTGAGATAACGGTTTGCTTGTTATGTGTGGCTTACAACCCAACTGAATCAATGCACATTACTCATTTTAAATGACCTGTCAATGAAGGAAGATTTGCTTCTATTCTGTTGCGGCACATTCATTTTTCTTTCATTTCCTGTCCTTTAAAATTTTAATGGTGATTGGTTATTTTTGTATTTTCAAAATTTTTTATCATCTTTTACTGAGCATACATTGATTCTAAAGAAAGCAAAGCATGAAGGGAATACTTTGTTGGGAAGTGGGTGTTTCTGTTGCTGTGTTTCCTATAGGAGAATCATTTTTTTTTTAATTTCAATTTCTTCTTGCCACAAAAAAGCAAAGCACATTCCTGGTAACATTCCCTGGATTCTGGAATTTGGCTTAAATTGGAACCTTAATGAGATAAATAAAGTAGATATTTCTTCATTTTGATGGCAGTCATTGTGATTTTGCAGATATAGAAGATGGAGTTTTGCCCTACTTGTGGTAGCATGCTACAGTATGAATTGCCTTATATGGGTTGCCATTCAAGATTTTTTTGTTCTGCTTGTCCATACGTTTGTCCCATTGACAATAAAGTAGGAATTATCTTTGACCATTTCATGCTTATTTAATATGTTTTTAGCTGCTCGTGCATGGTTTTTATATTTTTACTTCACATGTTTAGATCAAAAGAAAGCAAAGGTTGGTGAGAAAAGAGACGGAGGACATAGTCATTGATGGTGACAAAGTGATTGCACCAATAACTGACGGTACATTTCCATTCTTTCTTATTTGGATAGAAATTATCATTTAGAGAATTTTAGTTTTGGATGTTGCTTTAATGTATTCAGAATTCACGATATATTAAAAGCACAAAAATGACTAATGAAGGTATAGAGTATCCATCTTTGAATATAATGTCCTACACTTATATGATGCTGAGGTATACAAATGAAGATATGACCTAGAGCAGGAAGATTAGTGTTTCAGTATGAACTTAAAGCTTTTCATAGTCTTTCACACATGCAATTGCATAAGGGGACATGTTGGGCGCTGGTCTCACATCCTGGTTCTCATTGCTAGTCTCATGGTTCTTGTTACTGGGTCTCGCACCTCACTTCTCTTGTCACTCCCGGGTCTTGGTCACACATCTCATGTTCTGTTATTCCTGATTCTGTTGCATCTTTTTTAAGTCTTCACTCTATTGCAGCAGTATCTTCCTCCTTTGTCCCATCCCTTTGATAATAACTGTGGTAAGAGGAATTTACCAAGCGTTTACTCTTTACAATTCTTATTGAGTATAAGCATAGAAAATGGTTAGAACAAATGGGGAAGAAGGATCTAGTATTTGGTCTAATTCTAGAATTAGTAAATTTGCTTCGTTGGAAGCTCAAGATGATCATGCTCCGCTTGTTATAATGGTTGAGTTTGTTGATGGAGTAAAAAAACTCTAGAGAGAAAACAAAGTTCTTGTTATATGCTGTAGTTTCTCAATTTGTACTGGTGACTTTGCTTTTGATTCTATTGAAGATAGATAGACATTGGGCCCAAAATCTTGGTGGGTGATGCATGGATATTTTACCCACGTAACCCACCTACTCAAAAACATGGCTTAAAGCTTCTTGTACAACCTTGCTCTTCATTATATTGTGAGAGGAATTGGAATACATACTCCTTTATTCGTTCTTCGAAGGGGAACAAATTGATCCAAAAAGGTTAGAGAGGATTTGATTTTTGTGCATTCAAATCTATCAATATGGTTTTTTTCTAGGAAAGGTGAAGGTTTTACTGAAGGGGAAATGAGATTGTTTGGCATTAGTGGAGATGTATGTGATACACTTGATGGTGCTGGATTTCTTGAATTAGTTGAGTTATCTTTTAATGAACTAGACTTGGAACCTATGCATTTTGTGGATAATGGGAATTGGGAAGATGAGTATGATACAATTACCATAAGATAGTAGCAAACATTTTTTAGGTTAATAATCTTAGTTGTAAATATGTATACTTGGATATTTTAAACTGTAATAATTCCATTAGTTTGTTCTTCAGCCCTTTTTGTGGGCTTGTTTACTTTGATAATCGATAGCAGTTTTGGTTATTTATAAAACAAAGATGCCTTTTGTTTGAACTGGTCATTGATCGTTGAAGATGATATGGTCTGTTAATATTCCAATATAATTTAGCTTTGATGATAAATTTGGGGTACTAATAATATTGAGGGAGGGTGAGCCACGATCCAATGGTTAGTGATGCTGCCTTGTGTCCTGGTCATGGGATCAAATCATGGAATCAACCTATGTTTTCAGGGATAAAGCTACGTATACCTACCCTCTTGAAACCCCTCTTGGTGAGAGACTCGTGTTGTGCATTTGATTACAACTAAGGATATTTTTTGTGTTGAATGTGGTCCAAAGCTAAAGGATGAGTAAGCAGAGAGAAATAAGAATTGGAACACTTGCATAAAGTTCTTTAGTGTGAACATAGTTATTTCTTTAGCCTCTGTTCAAATTTTGTGGACACCTGGTACAGGTCGGATGTTTTAAGTGTCAAAACTTGAAGCCAAATCTAGGCCAACAACAAATATTCTATCACAATTTTTGGTTGCTCATATAGCATATTTTCCTGTTGCCTATACTCGTCAAAATTTGTATGGTTTGATGTTTGACTAGACAATGGGAATTGAAGCTTAGATCTGGTTCAGTTTGATACTTGAGCATGGATTGAACTTGAACCAATCTCGATTCTCGAGTAATTCACCGGGTCGTTGAACCATACTGGCCACGTTTGGTTATGTCAATTTGTGTATTGCAGTTTTGCTTGTCAACTTATAAACTGCAATTTTCTAAGTTTACGTTCTTTGGGCTAAGCTTGTTTTGTTGTTCATCATGGACTTTCATTATGATTTTTATTCCTTTTTATAGGGTTTAGTCTGTCAAAAGTTTAAGATTTTTTCTCCATTTTTTTTTAAAGATTTTGGTTAATAGGCTTTGCTTGAGACTTGTACATTAAGTGGTAATAATGACTAACAGCTTCCATTCTTCCGATTTTTTTTTTTAATTTTTACTTCTACCAATATCTTGTTATGATATTTTTAAGTGATCATGATTGATGTAAAAAATAAAGAATCGTGACTAATTATGTGATCTTTGTTTCTACTTTATGATTTCGTTGTTCTTTCTCTCACTGATTCCCTTTTCTTGTAGCGAGATGCCCCAAATGCGGTCATGGTAAAGCTGGTTTCAGGGAATTTCAGACTCGATCAGCTGATGAGCCAGCAACTATAACATATTGTTGCTTAGAGTGTAAGAACGAATGGCAAGGATAGATAGAAAAGCTTTTCAAGCGGGCTTTTGATATTTTCTTAATCTTCGCTGACTTTTTTGTCTTTTTTTCTTAGTTTCTTTAAGGATTAGAAAAATGAGATAGGAAAAAGATCCTTGTGCTGCATTTCAATATCAAATATAAAGTTTGATTTTTATTGTGTTTGGATGCACGATTTCAACTCGTGTTTCTAAATATTTTCTCATCAAATGTAAAAAATGTAGAAGATACTTATAGTAGTTTTAGGTTAGACTAGGGATGGCATCGGGCGGGTCGGGTACGGGTTTTATGATACCCGTCCCCGTCCCTGCGACACAAACTCATCCTTGTACCGTACCTGTCGGCTATGTGATTTTCATTCTCATTCCTATCCCCGTTGGGTATCGGGTATACTCGTACCCGTACTCGTAATTTTATTTTTTTTTTGCAAAAAAATATAATATTTTAAAATTATTTTTTTATTATATTATAATTATAATTAGATTATTTTTTTATCTCATATTTTAATCAAGAAATTTCTTAATAATTACACGACTATAAATATTTCACATTACATATAATAAAATATTAAATTTTTTTAATATAATTAAATCGGGTACAGGTACGGGGCGAGTATGCAGATACCCATACCCAGTTTAATTTATCGGATTTTAATCGTACCTGTACCCTGTCAAATCGGGTATTTCTCGTCAAAATTGAGACAGATTCAGGTATTACTCACAGGTACGGGTTTATTTGTCATCCCTAGGTTAGACGTCAATTAATTGATTTAAGGATAAATTATTTTTTTGTTCTTTTTTATCGAGGGTATGTTTGGATAATATATTTTAAAAATATAGGAAGTAAAAATAAAATCAATTTTTCCATTATCTTTCCTCGATTGTGATCTTATTTTTAAATTGCAGTTGTAAAAGCGAAGAAAAATTGCTGGGCAATTTTAATGAACTAAACGCTGACTCCTAATTTTAATTAACTAAGGACGATTTATACTTTAAATTAAGGTGAGCACAAATTGAAGGAATTTTAGTTGATTTAGTTTTTGTTTCTTCATTATTTAGTCTCCAATTCAAACTATTTTTGTTTTAATTCATGGAAAAGATTTACATGGACGAGGATCACATTTATATGCTATCGTTTCTATTTCACTCTTTTCTTTCTAATTATTAGACTAATCTTAATGGTAAGATTATATTAGATAATTATATACATAAGAAGGTTTTAATTAATCTAATATGATTTGATTTAGTCGTTCCATGAAAAATGTTGCCACGCGTCATCATTGTTGTCGATGCGTGTAGTCCATGCATCTAGCTCCAACGAGACCTACTTGTCATTGTCATCATAGAACTGATCCTTGGAGCCTCCTAAGTCCGTTCCACGAGTTAGTGACGTCCTATTTGACTTAGATTTTAGTAGATCTGAGTTTTGAGTTTTTGCTCCTTTTTCGATGCAATCCACTCATCGTCGTCACCATAGAGTCACTGAAGACACCTGATTACATTTCAAGGGATGTCTGCCATGACAATTGGAAAGGGGGTCCACAAGGGATCAAATGATAGAGGAAAGTCATTCGAAAAAGGTAATCGCAGAGACTATTGTTCATACTGTAAAGATCTGGACATACCAAGGAAAGGTGCTTCAAACTCCATGGAGGAAATAACGTTCTCGGGTGCATGGGAAACAACAAAGGGTCTACTCAAAGATGGACAAATCATACTACCTCAGAATAGGAAGACACCAATCAATCCATTACTTCACCACTATTAGATCTTGATATGAAAGCTTTTAAGGAGAAATTAGATCGTTTGCAAGCAATGATTGAATCAATAAGTAAGCTATCTGGACCATGTACTATGTCCATGAAACGTAAGAGTTCTCTCCATACTATTGGTCATCTGTCTCAAGGTATTTGGATTCTTAATTCAAGAGCAACCGATCATGACACCTTTTCGTATGATCTTCAAATCATATATTAAAAGGAATAGAGAACAACTTATTACAGATGCAAATGGTCGGGGTGTACCCATATACGGCTCTAGGAATATAATTTTGGAACCATCTATTGTATTAAAGGATGTTTTACATATTTCACAACTAGCCAATAGTCTTATCTTTGTGCAAAAACTCACTAAAGATTTAAATTGTTCAGTAACATTTTTCTCATCTCATTGTGTTTTTCTGGACCTTGCTACGGGGAAGATGATTTTAACTACTAAGTAGCAAAGTGGGTTGTATCTGTTGGAGTCTAATGACCAAAACAAAACAAAGATCATAAGTCAAGAAGCTACATCTGAGACGTGGGCAAATTCTCAAATATGGCAATATCATAAAAGGCTTAGGCATCCTTCATTCAACCTTATCAAATCCTTGTTTCCTCATTTGTTTACTAGGGAGTCTATTGAGTCTTTTAATTGTGATATTTGCCAATTTTCAAAACATCATCGTGCTTCTTATTCTATTAGTAATAAAAAGAGTACTTCTCTTTTTGATTTAATTCATTCTGATGTTTGGGAACCTGCTGTAGAATCTGTTTTTGGAGCCAAATGGTTCGTTACTTTTATTGACGATTGTACTCGTGTCACATGGACATACCTTATGAAAAATAAATCAAAATTTTTTCAAATCTTTGTTAATTTTTTCCGTCTTGTCCAAAATCAATTTGAAAAAAAAAATATCAAAAGAATCAGGTCTAATAATGGTATTGAATATGTAAATCATAAATTTATCAATTTTTTGTCTCACAATGGTATTATTCATGAACTAACATATGTAAACACCCCCAACAAAATGAGGTTGTAGAAAAAAATAATTGTCATCTTCTTGAAGTAGCTAGAGCTCTTCTTTTTCAAATATTTGTTTCCAAAACTTACTGGGAAGAAGCTGTGTTAATTGCCACATATCTCATTAACAAGTTACCCACTCGTATCTTAAATGGCTTTAGTCCTATAGAGTCTCTAATGTCTTTTGTTCCCTCTTCCCCCCTAGTATCAAGTCTACCTAGTTAAGTCTTTGGATGTATTATTTTTGTTCACTCTCATCATCCTAATCGTATTAAACTAGATCTTAAAGCTCTTAAATGTGTCTTTATTGGGTATCCTTCTAATAAAAAAAGATCCAAATGTTATCATCCTCAGAGTCATCATGTCTTTATCACCATGGATGTCACCTCTCATGAAACACAAGTCTTTTATGTCAGCCCTCCACTTCAAGGGGAGAAAGCACTTGAAATGGAGGAGTTCTCCTTGTCATTACCATATTTGTTTTTGCAAGATGCTCAAGATCTAAGCAATGAAGCTACCATGGTCCACAATGCGGAAGACGACAAATTTTCTGGTAAAAAATATGAAAGAAGAAAACAACCCACTTTGGCTCTAATGCAAAAAGAATTGTCTAAACCGGGAAGTGAGGATCCCTGAAGATAATAATGAGGAGGTAAGCATTACTAAGGATTTACTCATTACATTGAGAAAGGAAAGAAGGTCATGTGTTAAATATTCATTTCTTAATATGTTTGCACTAACAATCTCTCTGATAAGCATCGAAGCTTTATCACTATCATTGATGCAACATAAATTCCTAACTCAGTCTAGGAAGCCATGAAAATTGAACATTGGACTCAAGCCATGAGAGAAAAGATGAATGCATTAAAAAGAAACTTAACTTGGGAGATTAGTGATAAACCAAGAGACAAAAAGGTTGTAGGGTGCAGATGGATATTCATAATGAAACATAAGACAAATGGAACAATAGAAAGATATAAAACTAGATTGGTGGCAAAAGGTTACACCCAAACTTATAGGATTGGCTATGAGAAGACATTTTCCCTAGTGACAAAGATGAATGTAGTTCGAGTTGTTCTTGCTTAGTTACTCATTTTGGTTAGGACTTACACTAATTGGATGTGAAGAATGCCTTTCTTCAAGGAGATCTGGAAGAAGAAGTATACATGAAGATTCCCTCAGGTTTTGAAGTGCATAATGAAAAAAACAAGGTATCCCTCCTAAAAAAAGCATTATATAATCTTAAGTAATCCCCTAGAGCATGGTTTGGAAGATTTACAAAAGCAATAGTTTCCTTGGGATACAGATGTTAGTCACGTAGCCTCGTATAACTTAAGAGGGAGGATAAATTAAGTTATCCAAATTTTCCTCCTTTTTAAGTTTTAGAGATGTTTTCTCATAAATTCAATTTCTTAGACAAATTGTATGTAAAGATTAATGATGTAGAACTACTCAAATACAATGAAATAACAAGTAATTAAAAATGTAGGAAAAGAGAATTGCAAACTTGATTTTATATTGATTCGACCAACCTTGCCTACATCCAGTCCTCAAGTCTCCCACTTGAGATTTCCACTATTCTTGTAACTCTTACAAGACTTGAATCCTCCAACACCTTGGAACTCCCTTTCCTTGTGTTGAGATTCAAAAACCAACAAGGAAAAAACTCTTTCTCCTTTACAGATCCAATGATCAATTGAGTATGATGTAGTAACTCTCTTTGAAGAGTAGATTTTACACTTTGATGATCTTAAAGAACTCTTTAGAGATTTTTCAAATGTCTTTGGTCAAGTAATTTTTGTAAATTATTTTCACAATAGAGTTCGTAACCTTTTTCTGAAAAATTGTAGGTATTTATAGACAATTATTCTTAGGTTGTGTCTTTTCATGAAGAGTTGTAACTCTTTAAATTTTTCATAAAAGATACACTGGTAATCGATTACAATACTTGGTAATCGATTACAACGGTTTTTAAGTTCAAAATGTTTGAAACGTTGTATCATTTAAATTCAAATTTTGAAGTTTCATCTTCTAGTAATCAATTACAATCATTGGTAATCGATTACTAGAGCATATTTTAACATTTGAACGGAAGTTTTCTTTCTCTGGTAATCGATTACCAGATAGATATTACTGAATTAGCTTATGAAAACTTAAGATATAGAAAACTTCTATTTTCCAATTAAAATATTTTTGTTTAATATTTTGAATACTCTTTTTGCTTTCTTTTTAAACAACTTATTCTTATATTCAAAAAGATTAAGTTTAGGTTTTCTTGAAATCCTTATTTTAATGGCCAAGTAAAATTTGCAAATTTTAAAAGTTGATTTTACATACTAAGCTAAGTAGTCAAGACTTATCTAGTTATTACTTGAGATCTTGCTTCTTAATCAACTTGTTTTAACTTGACCTTTTATTTTCTTCAATACTTTGGCATCATCAAAACTTTATGCATATGTTCTTCCACATTCTCCCCCTTTTTGATGATGACAATTCATTGTAAAGAGAAAGAAAATAAAACAGTATATTCCAATTACTCCCCCCTTAAACTCCCCTTTAGTAAAACATTGATTGATGTTACTTT